CTAGAATAAATTAATAAATACTGTTACGGTTTAGTAGTCCCTTTAATTATCCATATTGTTAGAGAAAATAGATATGGCATGAAATCATCGATTATCGTTGATCGTTTATCGTACCTTGAACCCCGAAGGAATACAAATTTGAGCCCTTCAAAGAACTGCTTTACAGTCCCTTTGGGTCGGAGAAGGTTTTTAATTTTTTAGTGATAGGAATAACCATCAATCGGTACAGGAACTCGATCAGATCAGTAGGGCCTCATCCTGGACTCCTTACAGCTCCTCCCTCAGCTTCGATTGGAGTTCTGTCCTGTGTAATACCACTTAAACTTATCTATTGCCTGGCACGTTCTAAACGTTTTTCCACAAAATTTGGTCGCGTTTCTCGTCATCGAACCATCATTACGAGCATTATACGATGTGGTCAGATGTATAATATATTGCACACAGATGTATAGCATAGTGGTTTGAAACACGATTAAAAAGCCCACTGGAGACAGTATATTTTTAGTTCTCAATCGGCTGGCCAGCAAACATGTTTTTCGTATGGTTCCTTGGATCATTGCTGTTGGGCTCTTGGCAGGTGGAGGCCAGTTCAAGTCGCTCAACTGTCTTTACATGTGCAAAATAAAGGCCATCAATCAATACAAGAACTCGATCAGTATTAGATATCGAAATAAGCTATTCATCAGAAATAATCTAATAGTGAGAACACTGACGAATGACGGCAACGAAACGCTCCTTGTGCTCTTCCGGGTCAATGGCTGGCGTTCCTTTCTTTATAATATCACTCTGAATCTGTGCGAATTCTTGGGCAGTGTTAAGAAAAAGAACACCCCCAACGGCATTCTTTTTAGCCACGCCTTCTCCTATATTAATCCGTATCGAAACAGGGCCTGGGCGTGTCCCTTCCCTGTGAGTAGCCTGGACATATATATCCATGATTTTTGATCTAGTTTCATTCCATTCTGTAGGTCAATTAAACTGTGGAGATCGTGAACCTAGACAGCGATATCACTAAGTTGCGCGAACATTTCCCTATTAAGACGGGCGATTATGCTGCCCAATTCAGTTTGTATTACAAAAAGATCCTAAGGTTCACAATCAATGGCTCCATGGTGTACTCCAACTACAAAAAGCGCTAAATAAAAGAGTTAACAAGTTCAGGAGCTTTACGAAATTCTATTCTCAATTCAATCTTATCTCAGATTCCAAATTGTTGGTGTTGCAAAATCGCATGTACATATCTCACAAATGTGGAAATTATAAAAAATTTAAACGTTTTATAAGTACTGATTTATTTTTACACTTAATCTTGCAGTCCCATCTGTTCCGAAATTCCCAATTATAGTGCCAGATGCAAAACGCCAAAAAATATCACTAAACGTATGGGCCACAATTAAGCCAATTCAGTGAGATGATAGAATCGGAATCGGATAAAATCTAAATGCATATAACGAATAGATATAATTACTCGCATGAAATCTCTTTTGAAAGTAAAGTAAACTAAAGTAAATAATTCAACGGCTAAAAACTAGCAAAGCAATAGTATATAATAAAAATTAATAACGCATGTAATTACGAGTAGCATGCAAATAACAAAGAGCTCGCGTTGGTATCTACCACACCATCGATACCCTCTGTGGGAGATACCAATAGATATATCGGTAAATATCGATAAGGCAAGAGAGAGGGCGATTTGTAAATGGCGATCAGAAAGAGAGGCTGGGCAAAAGCTTTTCTATCACACTATTTTGATGGCCCACACAACATAACTGATTGGCAAATGGTAGTTGATCTCTTAATTGCAAAGCAAATCTGTTGATTGAAAGCTCATTTATGTATATGCACAAGCACATAATTATGTGTGCTCGATGAAACTAATGTTGAACAATTATGCACACAATTTAGACATTTTAATGTGTGATTAGAGTGATAAAACCAGTGAAAAACTATCTTTGTGCGGCACAAATGGTCAAAGCAAATCAGGGCATGGCAAATACGGCCTAAAACCGGACGGGGAAACAAAACAAAAAACACAGAACTTTGACACAATAATCAAACGAAAAGAGTACTGTGGAAGGAAGTGTGGGATGGGCGGGATGGGCGGTATGGGCGGTATGGGCGTGTTCTGGCAAAGTTAAAAACAAGGGAAAAGAAAGGCAGTATGCAGTAGGAGTGGCAGCGTCAAATTAGGCACAGTGTTATCTAATTAGCCACCTACAGGACCAAGGACCCAGCACCCCCCGCCCCTCTATGACGGCTGTGTGCGTGTGTGTGAAGTGGTGCCAGGCGCCGGCCATCATATTTTGCAATTTAACTCACACGAAAAGAAGGTTTTTTGCCCCGTTTTTCTTCACTTTTTTGAACACTCTTTTTTTTGGGTCTTCTCTTTGTATTCTTTTTGGACGCGCTCAAGTTTCATAACAACGGAAATGCAAAAGTTTTGTGCAAAACAAAGCGTCAAACTTTTTTATTTCTCTTGGCAATTATGTGCTCAAGGAAGGAGATAGACGCAAGAGAGGGAGACAGACAGTACAGGAGCAAGAGGAGGGAGACCCAGAGAGAGAGTGAGAGATAGGAGCGGAGCAGTGGCACAGCCAAATAATGATAATGAAGCACACAAGGCACACACGGCCCGGCCCGGCCCGGCCAGAAAGGATTTTCGAAGAAAAGCGCCAAAAAAGAAGTGAACAAATTGTAACGGGGTTTTTTTTTCGTTGTACCCAGGAAAACGTGGAGTGCCAGGATATATAGGGGCTAAGCCGATCTAGACATTGTATCGACACGAATAAAAAATCCCATGGAAAGCCATTCACTGTTTTTGGATGTCGGCCCTGCAAATGCCGTGTAAAAATTACAAAATTGCGCAGTCACCAAATAATACAAAAATAAATCCATCTCGCCCTAAATACATTTACAAGCTATCTACCGATCTGGCAAATTGTACAATTATGTCCATTAAAAAAATGTAGAATATTTTTCACGCCATATGCCAATTGGAATCTGTATCAGTCGGTATATTTTGGTCGAGCTGTTGTGCCCTGAAGCGATTGGGATTCAACACATGACGGGACTTGCATGCAAAAGTATCTCACAGATCCCCCATCCATGTGTGTGTGGGGGGTAATTTGTTTAATTTTCTTTCCTTTCAAAGAAAACAACAAAACATAGGCATCAAAACAACATTATACTGATAGAGATAGAGAATAACTCAACCAAAGGCAAATTTCGTGGCTTTTTCATGTTATTTTTTGTATTTTTTGCATTTTTGTTGAAGGTTGGCCGCCTTTTAGCTAATGGCCGTGATATAGCGAAAAACTAAAGCCAAACTAAATTAAAATATTTTAAATTCAGAGCTGGCAAAAGTTTTATCAATAAAATGCCCTGTCTCTGTCTCTCCCTCTTTATTTTTTGTGTGCTTTGCTTTTGGATTTGTTTAACGGGCAAATCAGATAAGGATCTTTCAAATGTCTGCATTCAACACATACCACACGTATGGGTGGGTCGGTGAGAGAGGAAGCTAGAGAGAGAGAGAGGAGGGGGGAGCGACTGCTCTGGGGTCTCTCCCGAGCAATTGAAACATCAGCAATACTTGAGCTTTGCAATATGCCGACACCCCCACACCGAGGACCGAGGACCGAGGACCGAGGACAAGCGACTCTGACGCCTTGAAAATCTGGTTGAAAAATCACTTACGCCTTGGCCACTTCTTCTTGGCTGCTGCCGCTGCTGCTGCTTCTGTGTCTCCCGACATTCCGACCCCGTCAGCACAAATGGCGGACACTCATGTATCGAGTGCAATAATCAACATCTCCTACTCCTCCTCGAGTCGGGCGAACTACCGGATTTCTGTGGACATCAGCACATTTGCTCGATGGCCCCCAGGCAATGGCTGGCTTGGCTTGGCCCGGCCGTCGTTGTCAAGTTGTCACTTGGCTAATCGGCACAGGGGATCTCAGAAGAAGAATCGTTCTAAGACGCTGCCAAAATGCGTGGACAGGGCTCAGCTAGCTAGGATGTGTCGCAGGGATGCAATTACAGATCGATATACATATCGTTGGGCGATGGTCACGCAGACACTACAAAAAGCTTCCCAATCGATAGACGGCAATCGATAGACAACAAAGGCGCCATCTCTTGCAAGGAAGATCAGAATTAGGTAAACAAAAGAGAAAACAGAATTTGTACAAATAACAATTTCTTAATTTCCCCTCAAGTTAAGTTAAAACTTTCAATTGCTTCCAATTCGAAGTCGTTGAGAGTCTTAAGCACTTTACGCTCAAGCGAATTGATTTGTTCCCTCTTGGATATACTTATTTTGCCAACGCAAAGGAAATCAGTGGGCCCCCTACCACCACCACTGGCCAGGATACTCGTGAAACTTGCTACGATAACTTGTAACTTGTTACTCAGCGCACACATCGCTAATGAACACTGGACCCTGGAGTCTCTGGGGCGGGGCGGCGGCAGGGAGAATATGTTGTTCGGTGTTTGTTTGTCCTGCCCGGCCAGAAACGAAACAAACAGAGCGGTGGTCCAGGGCTCGGAGACCCCTAAAAATCATTCAGTCTATTGGGGCCAGAGCTAGAGCTGATGACGGGTGTGAAAATCAATGGGCAATGAGCATCGCCCATTCACAGCTGAGTGCAGTCCGGCCCTTAGGGCCGCCTAAGACGTTTCACGATTTAATTGAATAATTGTTAGGCATGCCACGTACAACCGAGAGCGCGGAGCAGAGAGAGACCTCCCCCTCAGAGAGACCTTAGCGAAAATTTCGCCTGACCCTTTAAAGCAATGGCTGCTGGTGGAATTTTGTCCAAACAAAAGCGTGGATATCTTCCCAAAAGAGACTGCGTCAGGATCTCGTTTTGGCCTGGATGCAAATGCCCACCTGCATCTGCGCCTGCCCCAGCACCTGCTGGACATCCTCCCTAACAATTTATGCACCGCATTTGAAATTCATTGAGGAAACGCTCTCCAGCTGGCAAATCCCAGAGACTTACCGTTCCCAAGTGGCACATTCGTTTGCGTTGTTGTCGATTGTTGCTGCTGCTGCTGCTCCGATGTCACCGTGTTGGACAATTTATTTGCTGTTGACGTTGTGGTTGCTGTTGCGGCGGCGGCGGCGGCGGCGGCCTCCATTTTGCTGCTGCCCCCAGCTCCGTTAATGGCCAATGTGGTGGCGCTTTTGCCTAGCCTCAGTATGGTTGTGCCTGTCGATGATGCGGATGGTGCTGCCCCTGCTCCTGCTCCCGCTGCGGCTGCTGCCGTTGCGGCCGCCTTGAGCTTGTGCAGCGCACCTGCCATGCCCTTGGCAGCCTTTGAAGTGCGTGTCACGCTTAAAACATTCGATGATACGGAGGCCGAAACATTCACAGGCGGAGAAACGGCCATTGAGGAAGTGCTGCCTGATGTGGAGTTGCGTATGACCAGAATGGATTGCGATTTCTCCAGTCGCTTGAGTGTCTGCAGCACGAACGGCGATTTGCTGTCACAATTGCTCTCCGAGCTGAGGCTCCGCGTGGCCTACGGAGTGGGTAAAAGTGTGAAAGATCTTCATTTCGTAGGAGAGTGATCTCTACTTACGTGCTTTAGCAGGAAGGGCCTCTCTATGAGCTTGGTCTGTGCCGAGCCGTTCGCCTGTTTCGTTCGCTCCTGGGCCTTCAGCACGCTCTCCAGCTGGCTGGCATTGATGGGCGTCTGCAGGAGGATCGTGTTACTAGCGGCATCCTTGGCACCAACACCGCTACTGCTGCTGCTGCTGCTGCTGGCCACGATGGATATGGTGGAGCTGGTGCTGGTGGTGCTGCTCCCCGAGCTCTGGACAATCGTCTTGCGAGCCACTGTGGTGGTCGTTGGCAGTTGATTGAGTGTGATGGCTGTGGACGCCTGGGCCGCCTGGGCTGCCTTCTCCTGGTGCTGCTGCTGCTCGTTGAGCAGGGTGAGGATGTCCTGCTTGTTCTGGATAATGATCTGGCCGTTCTCGTTGCGTGTGCCCCGCAGCAGGATGATGTTGCTAGCGTTGACTCCATTTGGTGGCTGTAGCTGCTTCTGTTGCATGGCCCCGATCTTGAGAGTCCTCGTTGTGGCTTTTGTGGTTTTCGCTGTTGCTGTTGTTGTTGCTGTTGTTGTGGATTCAGCCTCATTTCTGCTAAGCTTGCCGCTGCTCTGGGATCTGATTAGGACATTTTTGGCTTTGATTTGAGCTGAAAACAGAAGAAACAAAAGATTAAAATGCGATTTGGGATGTCATTTTCCGCTGTCCAGTGTACTGGCTGACCCCAAAAGCTGCCAAACCCCCCGGAAATGGCAAACAAGCATCTATTGTATGCAGATTCAATGGAAACTGAGAACTTCATAACCGCAAACAAGATTTATGACTCGCATCTCGATGGCCAGTCAAAGGGATCGGTTTCGGGGATCGAAAGCTGGAGAAATATGGCATTAGAAATCGACACAAGCACACACACACACACGGAGGGTGGGGACGGGCGACAAATATGACGGACGACGGACGACAGACGGCGTCGTGGCCAAGAGTTGGGCCATTGTTGCACTTTCCCAGGGCCGCCAGTAGAGGAGTCCAGCAAATGTTGAGCGGTCAGTGGCTTAGACACGACACACACACACACACACACCATTTTGTTTGGCCAACAATGAGTGGTGGGATGGCTAGAGGGGTGGGGCTACTGGCGCTAAATCAAGCGAAAGACGACATGTTTATGGCTGGTACGAAGGACTTGCCGACTACGTAAGAGGACTACTTAGCACAGGCCCCAGCCAAAACGCAATAAAAGTGCAACAAACAAACAAACAAAACAGAGCACACAGGGGGAGAAAGTAATGGCGGGGCTGACGCTGAGTAGGGAGGGGGGCAAGGGCCGGCAGAGGCTTACATGCGTTGCCAAATATAGACTCCGCTCAAGGCTGAAAGGCGACAACAGACACGAAACGTAAAGTGCGCGCCGGAAACATTTGAAAATGTAGCCTAAACACTTGTCCGGCCTTTATGCCCGTGTCCGGCACACCACCCCCCACCCCCTAACCCACTGTGTGACTGTTTGTTTTCGAAAAAACGTGCGGGTCATAATTAGCCGCCTTCAGCTGCTGTTCCTGCTGCTGCCCTACGACCTCCTCCTCCCTCCTGCCACACACACACACACACGGACACATGCGACCCAAGTGGACGAGTGTCTGTCTCCAGCCATCCCCCGTCTCTGCGTCTGTGTGGAAAGGTCGCCAGAGTCAGTGGCAGTGGCAGTGCCAGACCCAGACCCGGACTCCGACCCGGACCCGGACACCGGAGTAGTGGCCCATTCATCCAGGCGCACATACTTCATTGTAATGTATGGCAGGCACCCATAGACCAGCCAAATGCGAACCACACCAACAACCAGAGCAGCAGAGAGCATAGGATAGGCCCAGAGAGTCCGCGTAACACATAAAACACTTTTCCGTTGTGCTGAAGTTTCGCATATTTTTGCGTTCGTCGCGGCTTTTGATGGGCACTGGCGCACAGTGGTGCACGGTGGCCCCGAAATGTGGGGTGGTCTAACTTTTGTTTAGAATCGCCGACAAATCTGCGGTCTGTTCCAATGTGCCTTGAGTGGTGGCTGTGCAACACGACAAATTGCAAGTCTATTGAATTTTTATTAGAAGCATAAATCAAAAGAGCGTTAGATCTGCCGGACAACGTTTTGGGCAGGGGTTCGATAAATATGTCAATAGATGTTTGTCCAGAGATTGCCAGCAGCAAAGTGAGGGCTAAGAAAAAGAAAACGACACTGTGTCGTCTGGCGATAGGCGGGCGTTGATGAGGAGGTGCCTAGCAGTGAATGGAAGCCAAAAATACTATTATATTTTAAATTATCAATGGTTTGATCTAGATTTCAGCACTCTCAGTGATTCAGTGTCTGGTTATTTTCCCAATCTATCCACTTAAGCACCAAACTCTGTATTTAGTTCTTCTTTCGATGAGTATTATCATCTTAATTGATCGCCGGCCATAAATTTAACGGGCGAATGTCGTGGCGCAATTTTCACATGCCAAAAGGTTGCCAGATCCTGCAACATCAAACAGCTGATTGGAACTAAAGGAATTTTTCAATAAAGTACAAACTTTTAATCTAAATTATGAGAGAGAGGGAATCATAAATAAACACTGGCTAGTAATGACACACATTCTGTCCGAATGAAAACAAAAGCGAAATTCTGACCGTCCCACCAGCCATCAGTGGGTTAAGGCACGCCAACCTCCCCTCCGCTGAGCCTACAAAGCAAAGCAAAGTAAAACAAAACTAATTGGAAAACCAATACGTTAACAGCGTAATCGAAGCACTAAACGGTTATCAGGTCGGCAAAAAAAAACGCAGATTGTGGCACACACTGGGGCAGGGGAAGGGGGTCTGTAGGAGGTGAGGGGCTAGGGCTATTGACACTTACTTTGCTGCCGTTGGAGTTTCAGGGAAGAAGCGCTGCAGCTGGCATCGGACACATTTTCCATGTGCCTGGCTTTTTCACAATTTTAGAACGAACAATAACCTCGCTGCGGGACATCTACTAGATTTTCGGATGCATTTTTGCACACACAACACCTTACACACACACACACTCGCACGCGTGCACACCAACACAGGTGTAGGAGCAGAACTCTGGGGATAGATATCGAAAAAAGGTAAACAAAACTTTTCCACGACTTTTTGTCTTGCTACGGGGGGCGTGCACGTTTTATGGGGGTTGTGATGTGTCCTTGTCTGCAGATGCATTTAATGCAATAAAAAATCAATAATATTCCTTTTTCACACACGAAATTATTAAAAAAAAACTAGCGAAAATATTTGGTTACTCCAAAACTAGTGCTGTTAAATGCACCAGAGTTTCCACTTCACAGCACTAAAATTAATCGATTAATCCACAGCTGTTGGGAGTGTGCTGCCACCTAGTTACAAGCATTGTGGCGCCTAAATTGGCTAATTTGAATTTTTTTCTGTTCGCATAGTAACATTATTTCCGTTTTTGTTGATTTTTAAAGCTCTTCGCTAAATGTTTTTGTTTTTATTACAGAAAATCCATAAAATCCATTTTCCTAATAAAGCAAAAACTTTCGCCACATTTTCCTGTGCAGCCTTCCCTTTTCCATTGCCGAACGGCGAAGCGGAAGTATCGCTATCCCGCTTTCTCAATGGGCGGGCGGCGACGAAGCAGAATGACACTAGTCAACAAAACACGACGAAATACACCAAAATACTGGCATCCAAGCGAATTTTCATAAAAAAAAAAACAATCTTATAAAAATACATTAATCGTACATTAAACAAAAAAATCATAACTCATTAATCAATTGTGGTCTATCAGAAAAAGTGGGTCTGATGTCAGGGTTTTTTTCTGGCTGTTGACTAGTGTAATTGGCAGTGCCAGTCGGTGCCAGTGTTCCAGGCTGGCTATCTATTTGTCGTTGTTGTCGCTTTTGTTGCACATTGAAAATAATATACAAAATAATTGAATTACTCGAAATGTGGTGTGTGCATGTACATATGTAAATGTATGAGTAAGGGGCGTTCAGGGTGGCGGGTACTGATAAGCAAGCTCCATCAATGCTAAAGCGCGCCAGAGATCGTTTCGTTTGTCAGCACAGGGTGCCTCTCGTCTCGCCTCACTCGTCTTCTTACGTATGATAAGAGCCGCATTTGGAATTAAGCGTGAATCGAAAACGTGACTGTCCCTCCGCTCGAGCATCGGCACGTAAATTATGCTGATGACACGGGGCTGTATCTGCCACTCCGCCCGGCCAGGCAGGCAGGGCAGGCTCAAGCTCACAATTCCAATGATTGCTGCGGTATTGAAAAATACCAGCACGTTTCTACCAGCCAGACCCGAAAGAATTGCTGGTAACTGGCTTCGGCTGCCATTTGATCGCTGCACACAAATATTTACAATACCATTTAATGACATTTTGCCACAAAAATAATCTGATCTATAAAAAATCAGTACTCGACTGTTGGATACCTCTTAAATTTAGAGCGATAAGCTCTGGTAACGATAGGAATTTATTTTAAATAGAACTTAGTCACACTCCCATATCTATAAATTCTGGATACCAGAGCTTTCTTGCTTCTCTTTTAGACTCCGAAGGGTTCTGCCTACCCTTGTATACAGCGAGTACCGGGTATCAGCTCCGCCACACCACACCTCCCGCTCCAAGACGGATCGCAATGACTTTTTCTGGTTTTATGCATTTATTTGGTTAATTGGGCCTTTGAACTCGTCGCCAAAGACGAAAACAGAGAGACGATGATGAAAACGAAGCAGAGATAAAGTCATGCGCGACGAAACTTGATTTAAAACAAAGCGGATCCCCGCGAATCCCCTCCAGACCAACACCCCCTACGGAGAGGGCCGAGACGCTGTCAACGCCCCCTTGGCGACGGCGGGCGAAGATAATGAAAATAAAAACACGCCAATCAAAATGCAATTGCAATATGAAATATCCATATATTAATTATACCAATAATCTCACATTCTTTTCAGGGGGCGTATGGTGTACGGGATGGAGATGGACGCCCCCACATGATCAGGATCTGAGTCACCTTGTGAACTATGGCAACAGAGTTAGGAAATAGCTCAATGAAAACAAAATGCAGGTTTTTTTTTGGCCGGCGGAAAGGCAACTGGTAATAAAAATGCAGCGAGAGAGAAAATACCAATAAAATCAGTAGCTGCAGCAGCCACATCGCAGTGAGCGGCCTCTAACTGTAAATGGCCAATAGGTATGTGTGTAGTTGTTGCTTTTTTTGTAATGCGTTCAGCTTGAGAGTAATAGAGTTAGAGAGAGAGAGAGAGAGAGAGAGTAGTATGAGAGAGTGTGTGAATCAGTGCAAAAATCGCAGGTATGTAGATGGAGGCGATAAGACACAGGCCATGTAAGACCAGGAGAGCGCACAGTGGGAGAGAAGACAAGCAGGTGGAGATCATTTCCTAGAACGAACATGGAGGGCCTTGGCTTTAGAAATCTGCAGAAAATTTCGACATTGCCCAGATCGTATAATTTTTGTTGGCTACATTTCCATTCTGAAATGACACCCGTTCCACCGTGCCTGCTCCATTGCTCTCAGCTCCATTACATTACTCCGTACTCCGCCGCCGACTGCAGTTGGATGCCGTTGGCACACACACACAGGCACAAGTACGCACACTCTTGCATATGAAGCCGGTTTTTGGGGGAGCCTTAACCCAACAGCAGTCAAAATGTGGCAAAACGTAGAAAAGGAAAAATGTGTGCTGGAAAAATGCACGGCATGCAACAAAACAATAGCAAGAGCAGCGGCAACAAAAGCTACAGCGATAGATAACTATATGGCTAACAAATAATCAAAATCCTCTCGTCGTACATTATACGGTTGACTGAGGAAACCAGTTCCATTGCAATTCCAACCGATCAAACAGCACCAGAAATTACGTATCACGAAAATAAATATTTTTATACCCTAGAAAGAAGTTCTATTATTTTGGGCAGTTGTTTACCATGCTTATGGACAGCATCAACAGCCGGTAAATAATCTAAACAAATCATTCGAATCGTGTGGTTATTTTTTATATAAAAGCCATCGGAGAGATCAATCAAAAGTGTATATAAAGCTTCGGCTCAGAAAGCTTGTCTTCACTTTCTTGCTTTTGTGTTGCTTCTTCTTCTTTTGCGGCTGCCAGCAGCAGCAATAACAACGACAATATTGTCTTTGAGCCTGGTCTTTGTCTTTGCGTCGAGCTAAAGTTACATACACATATATACATATGCACATAAATACTAATGTAGACTGTCATTTCTGTTTGTTTGTGTGTGTTATTTGTGCATTCCTAATTGTGCCCACCTGTCGTTGTAATTTTAATTTGTCGAAACCATTTAAATAGAGGATCTGGAGTTGGGTCCATATGTTCTTGCAATTGTGGAAGGAAAACATTTTTCTGGCTAAATGTAAAAACAATTGAGGAGCAGCAACAGGTAAACAAGCAGAAATAACCACACATACACACACCTAGGCGGACATATGTTCGCTCGAAGCTGTGGCTGTGTGTGTGAGTGAGTCCGCAACTCCGACCACAAAAGAGAAAACTACGCTTAATCTCCTACGCTGGAAACTGGTGGGTATGTGCATACATATGTATGTGCGTGCATATGTTTGTATATTTGATCTGCAGAGGGTCTTTTATCTCTAGTTTACGCATTACATATAATTTCCTCCTTCGTAATGGATTTAAATAAAATAAAATATGGAATGGGGAATACCTTATTTAAAAAGGAACAGCAGGCTTCAATGCCCATCATCCAAGTTCCATTCGATGTAGAGCATTTGATGGAACACCTAGCCTATCCTCTGGCTCAATAACTAGTTTTACATTGCCTACCAGGGCTGGTTTAAAACGATCCGCTCTCATGGTAAAAACGACTAGTGCTTTGATCTGGGTTCTCTGGGTGGTAAGCTGCACGCAAGTCTTTCGTGCCCGAGGAGAGCCAGCGGTGTGCAGCCCTGGCAAGCCATATCGGTGCAAAGCGAAAGAGCCCCGTAAGTATTTTGGTCAAATCAAGTCCCGCAGTCTCTTGGCAGACGGCGCGATCGAAAACAAACCATCGGACCGTGAAGGTGCTGAGGATATTCCACATCGCATGGTTGTTGTAGTAGAGGTGGTTGTTGTTGCTGTTGCTGCTGCGGCTGCTGTTATCGTAAATTTGCGCAGTTCGTTCGCTAATAGAAAAAAATGAGAGGAGAGGGACAGCGACTAGAGAGCGCGCGCAAAAACTAAACTGTATTTTTTTGAATTACAAAGAGTCGACAAGCCGCCTGCGTCGCCGCACCTTATTGCCTGCCTTGCCAGCCACCTTTCCAGCATCCCGCAGCATCCTTGCCCTCGCCGTGAGCGTCCGTCGCGTGTAACTATAAAAATCTGTGCCGCCGCAGAGCACCATCATCGCATCAATTGCACTAATTTCTTCAATCAACGGACAAGGCAAACCATAACGAAACCAAGATTTCCAGATTTTAAACGAGTGAAACTAGCGAAAATTGTTTAACAAGTAACTAAAGTAAGTGTGCTATTACCAGCAACTAAATCCGCGCTCAAAAGATAAATTTCCCTGGGATTTTGTGCCTGCAAAAAATTAAACGTTTGTTTGTCTTACACGTCATTTTCTGCAGAGTCATTAACGAAAGGCAGGTCATGAGAGAAAAAGAGAGAAGAGAGAGCGCCCGATCAGTGAGTGGGTGGAAGAGAGACCTGGAGAGCGAGAGACTGCAGAGTGCAATACTGATGTCTTTGTTTGGCTTGAAATTTGTTTAAAGGTACTTAAAACCATTAAAACTACAACAAAAAAAACAATCACTCATCTGCTCCCTGTTTCTCTCACAGTATTTCTCCATAATCTCATCTGAACAATTGTTTATCTCACTGGCTCTCTTTTGCTCTCCCCCATGGTATACCATTATAAGGTAAGGCGGCCTCGCTTAGTAGCGTTGGTTTGGATGCTTATGTCGTGGTATGACCTTACCTTATATAGTTGTACCACGTTCCCCCCTTTTTGAGAGTGTGTGTGTGTGCGAGTGCAAGTGAATTAAACGAAACGACTTGAAAAAGTTGGAGCTGGGCTTTTTTGTTGTGTAGTCCGCAGCTGTCTCCCGTCGTGTACGTATGTGATTGGCGCCGTGGCGCTCTAGAAATAGCGGTGAAACACTTTTGTAACTGTGCTCCTCGCCTCTCTCCTCCTCGCCGACTGTCGGGATTTACGGTATGCGTGTTGTGGCTGATCTGATGCTGCGGTTAACTGTAAAAAGAAAAGCAAAAGTGCCCATGTACTGAGTCTCCAAATACAATGGGCATTAAAAAATTAGCATTTGTGTGTCAGTGTGCTGCTCAATGAAATCTCTTGTGTGTGTTTTCTGCATGGCCATCTTGCAACACATTCCCGTAATTGCCGCAAACAAATAGTCACGCACAAAAGCAAACATCACGCAGAGCCCACCCCGCTTCCCCCTTCTGCTAATTATGAAAGTTTGCCATAAAAAAGCCGCTCTCTTCTGTTTGTTGTTTCTGCTGGCTGGCTGCCTGACTGGCTGACTGGCCTTGTGCAATGCTCTACAGTCGCTGTCCACCAAAAGCACACACCTGTTGAAGAGTGAAGCGTGCTTGTGCCACCAGTGTGTGTTGCCCATCTCCAAAGAAAGTGTCTGCTCAGCAGGGAAGGAAAGAAAATACCCATAAACACAGGGAAACACGACGTCAGCAGAGAGCTGGGTATAAAATATATGACTGACAAACGATTGAAACGCTGGAGAGAAACGAAAATGGTTCACAATCATTTCACAGTCAGTGCACAGCGCAGGTCCACTTGGATCTGAGTACAAACCGCCTCCACCTGCCGCCGTTCGCCCCGCTCCCCACTCCCCACTGCCCCCACTTCAGAGCATGTTCGGGCATATTCTCGTACCGCCATTTACATATTGGATGTACTTAACGACTCTCTGCCGTTCGTCTAATCTCCCTCTGCGGTATCCAGTGATGACTGCATAGCTTTTTGAAACTTAAATCTAGCTTTCTTAGAAATATGGGATAAAAGGGAATTAGAATTGCGGAAATTAGTTAAAATTTGACTTGGAATTGGATTTGTCAGGCATTTAGACAGTCTTGACAATTTGGAGCTCATTGTTGCACCGAGCATTTCCCATTCTGTAATGTATCCCCATAAATGTGGGGGATTAGTGTCAAGCAGCTCTTGTTACATTATCAGCAGCAGCAATTCAGCTCATTCCAGCACTCACTTATTGATGTGTTTTTATTTTTGTGTTTTGCCTACGCTGTCTGCATTCCAAATGATGCGGGACGGGAAGGATTGATGTGGTGGCGGGGAGGAGCAGCATCAGCAGCATCTACAAGTGCGACGTCGAGAACGACTTCCGCGACATCTCTTAAATATAGTATATGTAAATTTGTACACTTGTAGATTGTGTGTGTAGATAAGTACATATCTGTGTGTATGTATGCTTTTGCGGTTTAGTTGTCGACATTATCTTTTGTACGTCGTTTGAAAATGTTGCTGCTGTTTAGTTGTTTGGTTAATTTTTTGTGTGCGGTGTGCCTCTCCCCATAATTGCCTCCACACAGGGTGCCCCCGGTACTCGATTCGATTCAAATCGTTTTGTTTTTACAGTGGCGCTGTGCTATTTTCGAATTTTTGTATTTTATAGCCCGCCATCGGTCGGTCGCTGTCGCTGTCGTCATCGTAGAGCCGCAGTCTCAGTCGTAGTCGTCTCTGTCCGTTTTTGGCCAATTTAGCTTTCGCTTTTGTGCGATTGCCTAATGCCACCAGCGCTATCCACACTCTGCTCTGCCTGCCCCTCCTCAATGCCGCTGGCAACTCCAAAATAAATCAAACTTAAGAAATACATGTGTACACACACACACAACCGAATGTGAGCTTGCATGAAACAATCACAGAAAAAAAACAAAAACAACCAAAGCCTCATTAAATTTTGCAAGATTTTTCTTAATTATGAGACGGCACGAAATGTGAGAATTGCACGAGAGAACCCACAAAAGGTCCCGCGTCCGTCCCCAAGGTGTGACTTTGATCCAAAAGCCAGCTTGGCGACTTTGTTCTAATTTTGGTTGGGTTGCTTTTTTTCCTGAGAAACTTTTGTCTTATTGTCTGTCTTGGCGGTGTCAGACACAATGACGTCCAAATGTACTTACCTGTACGTGCGGACAGTGCGTTTCGACACTGTACGACAACCCATATGGCTGTGGGAAAAGTTACGACAGTAAAAAAATAGATATTCCATTCCATTCTCGTTTTAATTCAAAAATCAATCATTAAATTTTACGAGTACTCTCCGATAAACCGGAAATAATTCTACAAAAAAGATTCAATTGAAATGGACCTTTATTATTATTCTTCTTCTCGGAAATTAATGCATAAATCCCCTCGGGCTTCATAATAATTATATTCGACACATTTCAAATTAACATTTTAGTAGAAGCCATACGCTTTCACGTGATTGCCAGCCAGTTCATGACTCACGGCGATTAGCATCCATATTCAATAACAAAAGATATCCCAAAGCGTTCTCACTTCGGAGCCATCGAATGGTGGCGATCCGTGACCTCATTCTGTGACTAAAACTAAAACGCATATGCTGAAACGCACTGTACAAACACAGTACAAGTACTCATGTACCTACATATGTATATATGGGTTATATCCAGGTCCAAGTGCAATGATGGCGACAGCTGATGGCTGATAGCTGCTGCCTGCTGCCTGGTAGTGCCTCCCAGCAACAGGTTTGCCGCTGACGTAGATGACAGTGTGGGGATTGGCTTACATGAGGCTGCACCTGAACCACAGCTACCTCCCACCCCGTCGTGTCTTTCTCAGCCTCTCAGTACCCCCTAGAGGGTTCTCTCTGTCTCTCTGTCTCTGTGTGTACCGCGAACACGATTTGCAATTAGCCAAAAGAATACATTTAGATTCAGTTGGTTGTATAACAATAATTAGCAGTATAGCAATACAGCAGCCAGCATCCAGCTCTGGCGACAGCTGGAATTCATTTGTATTTGCAATCAGAGAGGGATTGATGGGTTGGATGGGATGAATGGGGAAAAACCCCGCTGGCCAAAGTTCAAATTGAATCTCATTTCTCATTTAAATTCCGATTCCGATTGCAGCCTCGAAAGACAAAGAAGACGCCAACGACGACGATGCCTTATCAGCCAGCAAACAGCAGTGGGAGCACCGGGGGCAGCAAAACGGCTGCCAAGATGGCGCAGCTGAAGTTCTGGAATAAGCAGAATAACAACAAACAGCTACAGCAGGACAAGGACAAGGACTCGGCCAACGAGGGTAACATCAGCAGCGGCAACAACACCAGCGGCGGCGGCAGCAGCAACGGTGGCGACTCCAAGAGCGAGTCAAAGAGCGGCAAGCGCAACTGGCTGCATACGCCCGAGCAGCTCATCAGCGGACATGCGGTCTATCTAGTCAAGGTGAGTGTGATCCGAGATGCAAGTGTGACGACCCAGCCATTGTCTCTCTGTCCCTCTATTTGGCGCAGTTCTTTGGTAACCTGAGCGTGGACCAGCCCAAGGGCATCGAGGTGGTCAAGGAAGCCATACGGAAGCTACAGTTTGCCCAGCAAATGAAGAAGGCGGCCACGGGCACCCAGGAGAAGTTCACGAAGCTCGAGATAACAATCAGCATCAAGGGGGTGGCCATCCAGGAGCCGCGCACCCACAAGATTCTGCACCAGTTCCCGCTGTACAATATCTCGTATTGTGCGGACGAGAAGGGTGTCAAGAAGTTCTTCAGCTTCATTGCCAAGACGGTCAAGACGCGGGAGGGCGAGACGACGATAACGACGAATGGCCATACCAATGGCAGCGGCAACGGCAGCCCCAAAACCGAGGAGACCCACGAGTGCTTTGTCTTTATTTCGAACAAATTGGCCTCGGACATAACGCTGACCATTGGCCAAGCCTTTGATTTGGCCTACAGGTGAGGGGAGAGCAATTAGCTTGAAATAGTTAGCTTCAACTGAACTGAGATTTGTTTTTGACTATAGAAAGTACATGGACAGCACCGAGAAGACAAATCTGAGCAAGGCGCAACAGCAGATCAATCATCTGCAGCAAACAGTTAACCAGTATAAGGAGCGACTAAGCGAATTGTCCGCAAAATTGCCAAAGGCCGAGCTGGATGCCATGCTCTTTAAACTGGGCATCAAGGACATTCTGGAGGCGCCACCCACCAATGAGCTGCAGAATGGAATCGATGCCAGCGGCGAGGCCCTGAGCAACGGCAAGCTGGGTAAGATTAAATCAAATGTGGCGGTATCCTTTCAATTGATTGCCCAACTGTATTGCAGATGAGGATAAGCTGCTGATTGACACCATTTCCACGACGGCCTCGGTCCACTCAGCGTCGCCCAGCTCCTTCTTGCCCATTGTGCCGCCGCGGAACACTCTGTCGAGTCAGATCAGCATCAGCGGCAAGAGCAACAGCCAGAAGATGGATGAGCTGCTGCTGAACTCCGATTCGGACAGCGATTTTGATCCACGTGCCGAAGAGGCCACCCAGGACAATGGCAGCAATGGCCGCAATGCCATCAGCAATGATCTGTTTGGCTTCGAGCCACCCAAGAGCTTTGGCCAGCAGCTCTTCTTCAACAACAACGATCACAAGTTGCAGAACAACAACACCAACACCAACAGCAACAGCACCAACAACAACATTACCAATAGCAGCTTATTGATCAACAGCAGCAACAGCATCAGCATAAACAGCAGTGGCTTCTCCAGCGAGCTGAACATAACGCCGCCTCTATGTAGGTTGAAATATTCCATAAGCTAAAGTGTCATTGATAATGGTTGGTTATTTTGTCATTGCAGTGGCGCCGCCGCCAAAGATTGCTGCACCCAGACGCAGCACGTCGGTGACAACGAGCAATGGGCTGAATGGCAACACAGATCTATTCGGCTCGGATCCTTTCGAGATGAGCAATGGTCCGACCATCTTTAAGGTGAGTCCCTGATATACCACAACCCATCGCAAGATACGAAATTCATATGGAAATGTTTTACTCCTCCCATTTTACAGCAGAATCAGCTGAACATCGATGACTTTTCGCTGGAGAGCTTGGATCCCCTGCGAAAGTAGATATCAAGGAAGTGCTATCAAGGCCATTTCAGCTGGGAAAGCAATTTTCAGATTCATCCCACTGTATGGATATCTATCCGTTAAACGTTATCCTTTATCCGTTTGAACGTTTTCCCCCGACGTTTCTCCAAATCGCACGCATTCCAATTGCAATTCGAATTATTGAATGAATGTGTATTATTGTTTATATATATATTCTATTCTATTGTATTGTATTGTATTGTATTTATTATCATTGATTTTTTGTCGATTTTATATTGCATATTATTATGATGATTCCCCCACTATTATTATTGTAATTATAAATACATATGATTATTATCTGAGATCGGATCGAGATCAAAGGAAATCAAAGAACAACAGCAATCCATAATGTAATGCACTCTTTGTTTAAACATCATCCAATTTGTTGCTGTTGTCTGAAAATAGTCTAAATGAATGTCGAACGAACAATGTTAACAAGTGATAATGTGAGAAAAAACAAAAAAAAACAATGCTAAACAAAACTAAAACTAAATGTGAGAACTTGTATAAAATAATTGTAAAGAGAAGCCCAAAACGAATGAGAACCGATTATTGTATAGCACCACCAGCAAAATGAACAATATTTAATGTTATCGATGCAATATAGAAAATTATTATTATTATTATTATTGTGTATGTAAAGAATAAAATGTAGTGCCTAAAAGAAAACACCATCGCGTCGCCAGTTGATCTTTAACAATTAGCATTATGTATTTCTACCATCGTTTTTCATTTTCAATAACAACACGAAAACTTAGTTCACTAACGTTGCTGCCATGAATACGAGTGGCGACTTCTGCTGTTTGGGAATGTCTTTGTCTAGAGCTAGTGATGTGTGTCCTTGTATATCCAACTGTTGCTGTTGTTCCTGAATCGTCATATGTAAGTCCTTAACCTGAGTAGCAGTTAGCAGTTGCGTGCGCGGAATCGGTCTTAGGCATCCTGGACCAAGTCGTTGTAGCGTTTTGGTGTGGTGGCCGACAGCTGTCGGGCATTCATATCGGAGCTCTAGAAAATCAGAGAGTTTCATAAGGCCAACGAATATTGATCCTAAGGGCAGGCAGAAGGGTGTTCTAAATGAAACAAAACCGGCCATATAGTTCGGTTGTGGTTTGATTCCAAGCATTCTTATAGATTTTTTAAGAAACCATATATATACCGCCACCGATTGGAAAAGTTCTAAAAGAAATAAATCATTAGAGAGCAGAAAAATAAATAGAGTATAGGTAAACTAAAAAACGAAATCAGATTAAACAAAATCAAAGCAGACAAAGGCTTTAGTTCGGAACAAGTTGTTATTAAGGGAAATAATGAAAGACGGGAGTTAATTAAGATGGGACAAATGCATGTGAACTGCGGAATAGTTTCCGGAAATGGCATTTCCCGACTGTCTATTATATTCGGAAACCTTACAATAATCTCAAATATAATCAACATGAACCCATAATATCATACAGCTATCCTATGGTGGCTAGGGGCTGTATCATTTAGTCCATAATAAACCAAAAATAATGAATAAAAACAGAAATATAAAGAATCGGTGTTTTTTTGTTTGTTGCTTTTTTTTGTGTGTAAATATAATTTCAACAGTTTATTTGCTTAAAACTTTCATCACTTAATATATAAATTTAAATAGTGTGCTCAAAAAGAGAAATGTATTGTGTGGTTTGTTATTGCATGCAGTTTTGGGGCTCTAGCCTAAATAAAATCCACAAATTATACATAGCTACTTTCATAAATTTTCTCAAAACATCTGTTGCTGTTTGAGTGTGTGTGTGTGTGTATATATGTAGTGTATATATAAATATGTTTGTAGATCGTGTTTAATTGCTAAAAACGTAATTATTAAAGCCAATTTAGCCGTAGCCGCTCCAATCGTCGCCTCGAAAAACAAACAGAACTTGGGCCCCGCTTCGGAGTGTTTCAAATGTTTGTGGAATGTCAAATGTTAAATGACAAAAACTGATTAAAAGTTTAAAATTACAATTGGGGGAAAGGTGGGGACGTGGTTGGTGTGGCACATACAAACAAAAGTCGTATTTAACATTAACATTAACATACAGAATAAATAAACACTTTTCACTTGATAGGGTCTGGGATTGGAGGCGATTGCGGGTGCTTGCTGGGTTCGGTTCGGTTCGGTTTGGTTTGGTTTTGATTGGACTGGATTGATGCGGGATTGGGGCAAACTCTTTACACAGCCAGGCGGTTTCTTTTGGCATTCTCACGCGCCTATTGGCTGACGACGGCGCTCGTCTTCTTCTTTTTAGCGTATTTTACCTGATTGGACCAGTCGCCCGTAGGCACCGTGGCGCGATAGAACTTGGAGCTCGTCTTGTTGAAGATGGGCAGCAGCTCGTTGGCCTCATCGGACAGAGCCTGACAATAAAATACAGATTTTTTAAGTATACATTCGACAAGAACAAGGATCCTGTACAAACCTTTAGGTAGATTATGGCATCCGTGCCGAAGCCCTCGCACGAGAGCAGCACTATGTCGCCATGGAAGTAGCGAGCGTAGAGCCGCGATATAGGCAGACCGTACCCATAGCCGGCCAAAGGAACCGTGTGCAGATCCGACTTGGATGGCTGCGGAGCCGTGCTGTACATGTACTTGAAAAGCTGGTCAGTTTGGGAGCGCGGAATGCCGCCACCCTGATCGGAGATCTTCACGCAGATGTCTTCCTGGCCGCGGCAGATGGCAACCTTGAGGGGCGGCAGGGTGTCGCAGTTGTCATTATTGTGGTGCTCCACCACAGCTCTCATGGAGTTCTTGAAGAGCTCGAAGAGCATGTAATACAAATGCGAGGGCACGTAGACAGTGCGGATGGGCAGGTTGCCCTCTGGCTCACGGCAATACTCCTGGATTTCCAGCGCGGGGCTCGTCAGATAATATTGATCACAGAGGAAGCGGGCGTTCTCATACGCATCGCGCACCACGTCCGACAAGTCACAGGCTGGGTCCAGGCAGCCGATGTGCCGACCACCCGAGTGGGGATTCGCTCCAAAGAGCAGAGCTGCGGAAATGGATGGATATGGCTGAGTGGATCGATCATCTTGAGGGAGACCTCGACTACTCACTGTGCTGATTGATCAGCATCCGGATGCTGATGCGCGACATGTACAGCCGATCGAGAAAGTACTGTATAGAGCTCTCGGTGGGCGCATCTACCGTGCCGCCCTCGTTCTCCTTCATTTCAATGACGCCCTGTGCCATCGTCTGCACCACATCGTTGTGCCGATTCCTAATGAGATCCAGATGATGCACAAACCTGTAAAAGCCAGTCAGGCCATTAAAATCATTGCCTGCATCGATTCGAAGCTCTGTTGACTCACTTGTGCAAATTGTCGTGTGTGGGATCGGCCTTCTCGTACTCCAGCACCTCCTCGAAGCTCTTCACGTACCAGGAGCTCACCTCGCTGACGGATCTGGTGTGCAGCAGATTGTCCGGCAGCAGGGCAATCTCCTTCATGATGTTGGCCAATCGCACCGGCAGCTCCTTTCGCAGAAATATGTACGACTTTTTCTCGCACGCATTTTGCCCTAATTGGGAAAGTAAACAAGAATTGCGATTAGAAATGGGAGAGATCTATATTAGTTAGTTTTAAGTATTGGTTTCTCTAGATTAGTTTGACGAAGGCTTATCAATGCAGTCACGCCTGAAATGCATCGATCACGAGCCTCAGTCTATGTCTATCACGTCGAGACGAAACGAGCAATCAGTCTATAAGATACATAGTATTTATAAGCTATTTACATATATGTACATTATTCAGTATTTTTTACTGTACATACATACATATGTATATAAATTATTCCCTAACTATTATAGTCTTTCAAATTGGAATCCCTTTTCTATTGTACTAAAAAGTATTACCCTTGAACCGGGTTAAGACTTTATCGTATAGAAAAAATTGAGTTCAGTTCTCAGACTGAACTTAAAAACAATTGAATAAATCATCAAAGTCCTCGAATGTACTTGAGCTAAATACTCGTACAATTTGGGTACAAATATACTAATCCAAACATATGTATGTACATACATATAGTATATGTATGGTGTCAGCGCCTCCTAAGTTCAAAGCTCTTGAGGCAGAAGAAATTAACAAAATAAACCCCAGAAAACTTTGCCCCCGTCAAGTTTTTTGCATTCGCTTTTGCGCTTATTTGTTTTCAATTTTGTATCTCTCTCTGTGTGCGTGATTGTGTGTGTGTGTCTCTCTGTTTCTCCTTGTTTGTCCATTGTCAACAGTTTCGTAACAAAAAGAAACGAAAGAAACAGCCGATTGTGGCGCACGTACAGACGACTGATAACGTTCCACCGAAACGAACTCATCGAAGGGGCCTGGGCCTGGGCGTGGGCCTTGACCGGCTGCCAGTCAAACACGCCCCCATTTCTGTGGGCAGGTTTTTGTACTGCAATTTGGTATTTTCGTTTCATTAATGATTATTATGCCGCCGAGTCCACAAAATTTATACTGATAATTACCCCAAAAGGTGGGAGGGTGAGGGGCACTTTCAGAAAATTAGTCGCAGTTAATTGAAATTCCAGTCACGAAGCGAAAACAAAACAAAGGATATACTATATAAGATTGGATATACACACATATGGGTATAAAGCATAAATTGGACTCGAGCCGCCCCGTTTATGAGGCAATTGTAACGAAGGGGCCAACAAAACAGAATCAATAAAAAGAGTTACTAATCGTTAGCTGAGAAATACGGAAAGAGAGGCGATAACCTGATGGACAGGGCCGAAAATCAAATCGGAAACAACAAGAAACCGGCTAGATTAGGGGGCCAATGCTCTAGATGCTCTAGTAGGCGCTCGATTTTGATCATATTTATCGATGGAGGCTGATCTATGGATATGGCAAACATCTCGTAAAATTCAATGTACTCTCTGTTCAGAGAGTAGAAAAAACAAAGTAAGATTCCACTTGAAAGAACCTGCCAGAAGCTGCCAGAACCTCTGGCAGAGGGGGCGAGATTCACAACAAGAGAGAGAGAGAGAGAAAAAAAAGTTGTGTTGGAGAGCGAGCGAACACACGCGCACACTCCCCTCGCTTCCACTAGTCTGCCCCTCTAGTTACCGATTGCTGATATGACCTCAAAATAAAGCTTTTCGTTGAATTGTTTTTGTTTGCTTGTTTGCCATATTTCTCCGCTCTCTTTCGTAGATGTTTGTTTGCGGTGAGCTATTTCTCCCACCATCTGAGTTGTTTGTTTGTTTTTAGCCTTCTATATCTGTATCTGCTGGCCTGTAATCTTTAACACGTTCTTGATTGTTGTCGTCAAAGCCAAAGAAAACACCAGACAAAGCTCCCTCGATCGGGTTGTCTGCTCCGTCTGGGCACTGGCCAACACTTTGATGAATCGCTCACTTCAGTGCCGATGATAAGACCGCCTCGCCCTCACTTTCATTGGCGATAAATCGAAAACGTATTAAGCGAACTAATCATTGATACTATATGAATGCACACTTGGATAATTACCGCAGTCCAGAGTGCCGCCATACAAATCAGAAGCTTCCCACTCGAGAAATGGTTGCGTGTTGGCAACGGTAAATTGAAAGCTTAGCACCACACGCATTCAGTCCAGGTGGAATTGAATGGAATTGAAATTAAGCTTAAATTGAATCTCGCATTATCGGTTAGAAAAGTCGTTGCTTTGATGGAATTCTATCGCAAGTGGCGCATTTAATTATTAAAACGGATGTTCGTCCTTCGCTCGGAACGCAATAGAAGAAATTACGTTAAGGAATGCAATTCCATTTGTCCCTGCTTTCCACCCACTTCCCCCCTTGACACTTTACCAATCCGATAAATGCAATTACATTAGGAATGGAGGAAGAAAGCAACTTGTTAGCACAGCTGAGGACGACACATCTCGCGCTTGCACTCTGCCCCCTCTCAACAGCTGTTCCACAGCGCCTTCTAAACACTTATTTTGCCTTATAATCCCTATCATCTATTGCATCAGCTCCTACTCATCATCATCGTCATTCCGCATTCAATTTGGATCAATTTTGTGTGAGCCCCCTCTCCCTATCCTTCTCTGTCCTCTCCCCCCCATCCTCTTTCGAGTATACTTGAATCACATTCGCCACGGACCGAACAAAATGCGGCGCGTGTGGAAGCGTCTACGTCTTTGCGGTTCTTTCCACTTTTTCGGTAACTGTTGACGTCTGCTGTTTATGTATTTTCGCTATTTTTTCTCTGGCATGTTCAAAGTCCTAGCCGAGAGATATGTGTGGTCTTTGGGTCTGGCCAAAACAAAGTCCAAATTGTGGGTGGGTTAAGAAGAGCCGACAGAGTCCTGGACTTTGCCCAATACGGTCATTGTATGATCTGATCCATCAGAATTTTTCCATTATACCTTGTATACCCTATACGTTTAAGCACATGACAAAAAATATAAAAAATATTGTATTTTGTCACAGAAAAAATGTTGTGCTGCCCACGCACAAAATTGGCACATGATCAACTTGGGCCGTGCCAATAGATAGACCCGCATCGGGCCCCCATTATAATATACCTATGTTTTTGTTAAGATTTTCCATTGATAGCACAAGCTAATCTTCAGATATTAGCCACAAAAAATACTATAAACAGCACCTCCCTCTACAAAAAAGGGGCAGTGTAAATGGGGCCCGTCAGCAGACGTGAATTTTCGTACCCTTGTCTAAATTGAGCCCCTAAGATCATACCTGCTTCAGTACACTTAGATCAGGCTCGTGAAAACCGAAAACGGAGCCCCCCAGGCCCGGTAGGCGCTAATCGATGGCTCACCTGAATCACACGTAAACGTACATGTATTGTACATGTATACTAACTATGTTAGTAGTTAGTGATTCAGGCATAAACTAATAACAATACCCAATCTATAGATATACCGCACAAATTAACAAAATTATATGACACTGGTAGTAAAGCCATTAAAGTAAACAACAATTAAGTACGGGGTACAGTTGACGACAAAAACAAATTGAAACAAAAACAGGCCTTATCTGTGGCGCCTGGCATCAAAGTTCAAGTGGGGCCCAGGCGGCACACATTAGGTATTTATTTTACTAGTGAAAGGCCGTTGGTCTGAGACCCCTACGTTGTTGTACGAGTACTTAATAATTTATGAAAGAAGAAGGAAGGAAGGAATCCTGTCATGGGGTTTATTCAGTCCAAACAAAGCCTTTAAAAGAATACCAACGAAAAGAGTTTAAAAAAAAAACAAAAACCCTCTTGTTTGAGTCTAAATATAGATGATAATAGCACAGTATCCTGAACCCAAAACAACCCAAGCCCTCGGCCCGTCAAAAGATATTTTTATACCCTTGCATAGGGAGGGTAATATCATTTTGCCACAACGTTCCAGAACACCTTAATTTTTGCAGCAGAGGGACTGCGAAGACGACTTGGAAGACTTTTCCAGTAGTAGTTTAATACCTTTTAGTCTGATTAAAATCGACAAAACAAGAATATGACATATTCTGCCCTCAATTTCAATTTATGTGTGCCATCTGCAAGGGTATTTTAGGCCTCGTACTCCACAGCTTGGGCCCTCCTTTTAGCTATTTTCAGTTTCCAGCCACTTGCCACTTGGCTTAACTATTGTGTCTGTGCAAGTCAGTTGCCATTTATGTCGAGGCAGCAGCCGGTAGCCAGCAGAGAGCAGAGCCCCCAAGAACAGTGTAGAAAGAACCTTAAGCACGCGAGGCGTACAAGGCCTGAATGCTATGAAAGGCACTCCAGCTGCTGGCTCTGACGCAGTGTGAGTGTGCGCGCGTGTGTGTGTCAGTGTGTTCGAGCGCTTTCTGGGCTCTTTCGCTTATTGGGGCAGGTTTGTGGTGGGGCTTAGATGGGAGTAACAATATTGTGCAGGGATAGCAGAGTCGGCTGACATTGAAACGTCATTGAAGGCCACGTGCCGTCCAATTTGTGGGGGTGGGGTGGCAGGAAAGCCGTTTTCCCAGCACTCATATAGAATTTCATTGCCAAAACATGTTTATATATTCAGAGACAACGACTTGACTCATTCCAACTTCCGTTCCGTTCAACAGGCGACGGGGGCGGGAGCGGGGGCCGAGTTGAATTGAACAGAACTGAGCATTCAATTGTTTGAGCTGCTCTCTCCCAAGCCCGCTCCCCCCGTAAACAATCAACAGTTTGCTGGGACGGAAAAAAGCTGCTTAATTGAAAATTCAATTGGGCATTAGATAACGGGAAGGTTGCGCAGTTTAGCCGCGTAGCGTCAATCCTCTGAGAGGAATCATTTCTGGAGATAATCGAACAAATTGTTCTTAATTGTGCTTCTGTAAGCTCTAAAAGTATAAGTCTACGAGCATAAGTGCAGTTTTATATTTATTTCGTGCTATAGAGGAAATACTATATATGATTCTGACGCAATCTACCGATTGATACTCTTTTGAGGGCATTTTCCACCTCCAATACACATTTTCCATTTGCGAGCCAGTAGCTTATCGATTATGCAATGGCGGAAAGGGAAATCGGATAAGATCAAAGCAGAACGTGTCAAACTATAGCCTGTACAAATCACATTGAATAATTAATATTTAATCAGACTCACCAAAGTCCATAAACTGTTTGATGGATAGCGGCGATGGGTTGAAGCCCGAGTAGAAGTCGAGCATTTTGGTCAGGCTCGCCATCGAGGACGAGGCGGCCGAGAGGCGTACCGGGAACAGGCGCATATCGTGTGTGTTGTTGCTTCGCGGGGGGGGGTGAGTGTTTACTGGTTGTCGGTTGCGGGAGGCGCGTAGTCCGATTACGCTGTTGTGGGTGTTTACCGGTCTTCGCTTATCTTTAACAACTTTGTTTTTGCCCAATGTAGACCACCGAGCGTGTGTGAGAGTGTTTGTGTTTCAGCGCGTGGGAGGGAAGCCGGTATGTAGGCGCAATGTCCTTTCGCTCACCTTCACCTCACCGCAGGACGTTGACCGGCAAAAAATTCACTTTCCTCTCTCTCTCTCTCTCTCTCGTTCTCCTTCTCTCTGCTCTCACAACAGCTGGCAATGTCTTGCGGTACTTCCTCTGCTTGGTCCAATAAATCAATGGAGAGCTTTAGCTCCAAGACGGTGCAAAATGGTGGCAAAATATTTGTTTAAACGCAATGATGTGTGCCAGTGTTAGCTGCTAATACAGTGGCTGCGGCTTTCCTGCTGATGGCTTTTGATGGCTGTGGGGGCCGTGGTGGGGCGTCGTCTTTGTTGCTGCTGATGCGCCATAAAAGTAATTATAAGCGCGGGATGCGGAGAGATGTTTTGTACGGTATTTGCAATGTTTATTGTGCGGCGCGCGTACTGAACACTTCTCACGATTGACTATTTTGTGGGCTACAGCTGGGCCCCAACGTTGGATTCGAGCCCCACACGTTAAACCAGTGTGACCGCGGATGTTAAAATATACGGTCCGACCCTCAGAAATATACCAAAACATACCATCTCATTTAAAAAATATACCGTAAATATACTGACGAATTCAAGTTATATTTTACATATTCCTCGTTTTTCATATTCCGACGAATATTACTAGCTATATAGAACATTTAGCCGTGCCCACATAATTTTAGCTCATTGATGAATCAATTTTCTACAAGATTGGTTAGTTTTTAGTCTTTGCTTTTATTGTATTTATTGTAAAAAAAGGTTTGAACAAAATAGTTCAACAAAAAATCAGTCGCAATGTTGCTGGTATTTAAAGACATGATGCGTCTATAGCTCTTTGTACACCCTATTTCGCTAATTTTACATGTAGATCAAACGTGATTTATAAACAAATTTTCTCAAATTGATATTCCTTAGACATATTAAAGTACATTATTAGTATCTTGTGTATATTTATCTCGATCCTGATACCTACGGAGTCGTCGATGACAAACATATTCTTAATTCTATAACATCCATTCCCCCAGGGTATGTGTGCGTGGAATGGGACTCATTGTTGTGAACCGGTTATGACGACTAATTCTTGGTTAATCTTTCTTCCGTCGTATATTCCCAGCTATATAGATCTCTCAGTTTTGCCCAGACAATTTTATATGATAGCTGAATCAATTTTGATCAAGATTAACTATTTTTAAGTACTTGCATGTTTTTTATTTTGACAAAAACACGATTTCATCAAAAATGTTCAATGTCGCAGGTTGTGACGTCAATGTTGCTGGTATTTGCAGACTCATTTGTTGTCAACCAGGGTATGAGCGTTTGTATACCCTATTTCGTGAATATTATATAAAGATACTGTTTTCCAAGCTGCTTTCAAATGTAATTAATAAAGGCCTTGTTTTAGATTGCATTTTTTTGGTCTATTCATGCATTTGATTAGTTATTTGTATATAAAACCTGATCCCTGTAGCGATTCTTTGTCTCTGTAAGAGGACCACTAATTGCAAAATATCGTTTAAAATAGATACTGACTAGTTTCTGCATTAATTAGAGCATGGGATGAAACACATTTCCGCAATTCTATATCATCCATTTCCCCAGGGTATGTGTGCATGGAATTAGCAACATGTTTGTGTATGGAATGGGACTCATCTGTTGCGAACCGGGTATTGCCAAATCCGGATATTTCAAGCTATATAGAGTTTTCAGCTTTGCCCACTTAGTTTTATCCCATAGATGAATACATTTTCTATTTTCTAACATCTTTAAATTGCTTGTAAGTATTTTATTTTGACTACAATACGGGTTTCAAGTAAATGTTGCTGCAACTTTTGTGTATGGAATGCGCAACATTTGTGCATGGAATGGGACTCATTGTTGTGAACCGGTTATTACAGATTCTACCCGATTCAAATAAATACCAAAATATACGGTCTCATTTGAAAAATATACCGAGTGGTGCGCGCCAAATTTGAATGTGAGCGACAAGGATTTAAATGTTGTCAACCGGGCCTTTATCTATGCCCACATAATTTCATACGATCAATCAATCAATTTTCTACTTAACTGGCCAGTTTTTAGTCCTTGCTTTTATTGTATTTTGACTAAACAAGGTTTAAGCAAAATAGTTCAACAAAAAAACAGTTGCAGTGTTGCTGGTAAATTAGCAACATTTGTGTATGGAATGAGACTCATTGTTGCAAAAGCGAAATGGGGCGAACTGCGGCAAACTGCGGCGAATTCAAATTCGATTCAAAAAACGACCAATTCCTCATATTCTTTATTCCGTTGAGTAATACTATCTATATGGAACATTTAGCCATGCCCACTCAATTTTGTACGATTGATGAATCAATTCTATACATGATTGGCCTATTCGAAATACTTGCATTAATTGGATTTTTATATAAAATTGAAAATTAAATTAATAGATGACAAAAATACCATTTAGCACTAAAAAACACCACATGGGAGCGCGGCGAAAACCAGTTTCTACAGTATATACGGTCTCACTTGAAAAATATACCGAGAGGTGCGCGCCAAATCGAACTTTTTTGAATGTGAGCTCCCGGTTATGGTTGCAGCTCGGATTCGTCCATCGTGGCGCGGCTTATGGAGTCCGAGGCGACTCTGTTCAAGTAATGCACCCGCGACGCGTCTCGAGGACGAGGGAACGCGGCTTCTCCACCCCCCTTCCACAAAGCACGACGGCTGCCATCCACGCGGGTGATCTCGATGAGATGAGCCTCCGCATCGGACCGACGCGAGAACATGCCCCATTCCCCACGTCTTTCCATCGCACCAGACGCCAGTTGCCGTTTTAGCCGAACAGCTGTTCACCCCCACCCCCAGTCCGCGGTCTGTTCTTCTTCTTCCTTTTGCTATGATTTTGCTATGATTTTGCTATGATTTTGCTATGATTTTGCTGTGATTTTGCTGTGAATTCGTCTTCTTCTTCTTTTTTCCACGAAATTTTCATGTTTTAAAATACCACCGGAAAATACCGAATATTTCCCAAATTTTTTTTTTCAAAAAACGACCAATTCTTTGTTCCGTTGAATAATACTATCTATATGGAAAATTTAGCCGTGCCCACATAATTTTAGCCCATTGATGAATCAATTTTCTATTTAACTGGTCTATTCGAAATACTTGCTTTTATTGGATTTCTATATAACATTGAAAATTAAATTAATAGATTGATGAAATTGACAAAAATACCACCGATATACCGTAAATACACCATGAACCAGTTCAGACTCAAATGAACCTGGCGCAAAAGCTCTCGAATTCAGCAGCATGGTATAATTATTTAAGAGGTATGGCATCGGTGACATAATATTGTTACATTATGTTAATTTAGGTCCCCGCGCTGCTGTAGCTTTAGTAATTATTTACATTTCCATTTTTTCTTTTGGGTTTTTCTTTTTTTTTATTAATACACTTATAACATATAGTATAGTATAGATTTTGGTTATCGTCATTGAAATTATTCCAATTTAATTGCAATAATATTCAAGAAACTAAAATCGTTTTTCTCTGCTCACCAGATCTTAAGGAGATGCATAATTCGTTTTAAATTAAAGTTCAAGAACAAACGGTAATACAATTTGGATAGGATTCAATGCACTCCCGCCAAACTATTTATACAAATCCTACAGCTGCAGCTACCAGTCAGCCCAGCCCCTGCACCTGCTCGGATCACTCCATCCTCTCAATTCCAAATCTCGAGATAACTAAGGAAACTAAGGAAAAGTGCATACAGGATGGGTTGGTTTAATAGATTCTTCTGGCCAGAGATGGCGGTCGCGTTGGGTTGGGTTTGGTTTTGGTTGCAGCTTCCGCGCTCTGGTATGTGTATATAATTCTTCTCTGGTTAATTCAGATGGATCTCATAGTCATCTGTGTATGTTTTATATGTTCGGGTTTCTTCGCGTACGCATATATGCTCCGTCCTAAAGCTAGGTTTGTGTTAACAAAAACAAAAAAAATCATAACAATTTTGTAAATGTAAATGAAATACTTCGTACGTAGTAGTTTGTGTGTGTCGGATGGGGGTCGGGTTGGGTTGGGTTGGGGTCGTTTGAGGAGGACAGCCCTACAGTTTAAGGAACATGGACAACAATGGAACCGCAGGCTTCCAGAAAGAAGCGAGGGGGAAGGAGATAGCTTATACATAAATACACATACACACACTTACACACACACACACACTCACTGTTGTACCGCGTCTGTGGCAAGATATATACATCGGTATATATCAATATATGTACTGGGAATATATGTATATATATAACATTAAGTTTAGCATGCGCGTGATTATAAATTAGACATATATGTTTTTGCTCCAGTTGCCTGCCTTCCTCCCCTCCTCCACGACTCCAGCTGCGCCGGCGTCCGCACCACTTCCTGCTCCTCCTCCTCCGCTCCCGCCTCAGTAGACGAAGCGATTCACATTCATGCCCAGGTCGTTGCCACCACAGCCGCCTGAGGGCGGTGGGGCACGATCATCCTCATCGTCGCCGTCATAGTCGTTGCGCGTAAGGAATCCATGCCCGTTGGTTCCGTTGCTGCCCTGGAAGCGCTGTGAGCGCACTTCCTCGCTGTACGCCCGATTGTCCTTCTTCACATAGTCGCGCAGTGGGCTCGGCAGCTCCTCCAGAGTGAGCGGTGGGACTTGGGGCACCGACACCATCTCGGACTCGTGCGAGCGGCCGCACATCTTGTAGAAGAGTATGTAGGGGGTGTTGGGCGAGGTGAGGTTGTGCAATTCCTCGGACTGCGAAGAGGTCACAATGCTGTCGTTGAACTTGTACCAGTTCCTGGACTGGTCAGCGGCGAAGGTGAAGTAATGGCCGGAGTCCATGTGGTAGCCCGAATGTACCACGCCTGCGTACATCTCATAGTAAACTGCTGACTGCTCCTGCAGTGAATCGGTTGAGCATATCTTAACCACGAGCTGTGGAGGGCAAAGCAAGTTAGTGTACAGTTCTGCAGTCTCGTGGCAATTCCGCATGCCCATGCGTGTACTTACACTCTCATCGTGAAACACCTTGTGCATTAGCTTGGTGCGAAAATGGTACTTCTGATCGTACTTGAACTGCTTGAGAGTCAGGACGAGATTGCGTGGCGCCTCTGTCACCCCGATACGGCGATCGGCATCGCAGAGCTTCTCGCAGCGGGGACAGAAGTACTGATTCTCCCCGTCCAGCTTCTCCGGCGAGCAGTAGTACTCGATCAGGTCCTGCACCGAATAATTGGTGGCACTGCAGTCGTCCTTGTCGTCCGGAAACGATAGCTGCAGCTCACGGAAGCTGTCCTCGTTGTGGCTCTCCCAGCTGCAGTCCGAACAATTGTACGTCGTCGACAGTTTGCCGGTGAACGTCTTGTCAATGGTTGATTTTGGCTTCTTTGGCTGCTGTTGCTGTGAGCTATTTGTGCCTTTGGTGGGTGTCGAAGTGGGCTTGTGACTGGCACTGGTGCTGCTGCCGGCGATCTCGCGGTCATGGCTGTTGTAGGGTATGACTCCGCTGGACAGAATCTCATCGTTTAGCTCGCCCGGGGCATCGACGTCATTGCCATGCAGACTGTGGCTTCCAACTTTGTTGATCTCCTGTTCGTGCAGCAGGTCGAGCAAATAGCCTAGGAACTCGGAGCTGTCCTGCTGCAGACCCTGTGTGAAGCCCGGCGGCCTTGCGGCGTTCAACACGCGCGTTGGTGTCAGCTCACACCGCATCGAGTGGTGCATAAGGGCAATCTGTTGCTGCACCTTCAGCAGCAGCAAAGAATCGCTCTGGACCAGCAGTATCTGGCGGCTGAAACTGAGAGGGAAACAGAGGATCAACAGAATCCCAGGGAACATGGATTTCTAGATGAACGATGAACTTACTCGCTGGTCATGGCCAGGGCCTGGAGTACGCTGTTCATGTAGCACGTGTTGCCGAGATTCACCAGTCCCACCCTTGCATTGCGTCGTCCCGCGGGCATGGCGTTCTCCTGCATGGCCCGGGCCATAGCCCCGCAGTTTGGCGACGGCTCATACATCTGCATGGCAATCCTCACGGATGCATAGAGATCGCTGTTTTCGTTGAAACGCAGCATCAGGGCACTGGTTAGATCGACCAGCTGCTGCATGCACTGGCGAGTCTCCGCTCCGAATTCGTCCGTGCTGTTGGACTGCTGCTTCAGAAAGTTCAGCACCTGGGGTACACGTGGCAATATCTACAGGAGAGGGTATGATAAAAGGAATTGTTTATCCGTGATCCGTGATCCATGATCCATGAGGAGGGTGCATGACATTACCTTGCGGAATATTTCGGGTGTCTGATTGATGGTCGACAGCATGTGGAACACTATCGGAGCCGCCTTGGGGCGCATGGCGGGTAGTATTAGCGCTTTGAAGAGCTTTTCGATGGCGTCCAGGGAAATGTCGTCGAGGAGCACATGCTTGCCCTGATTGCGAAGGCCTGTCAACAGGGCCATGACCCACATATTGAGGTTCGGGCAGAAGTTGCACACACAGATCCATTCGCACAGCAGGACCACCGTCTTGCGTATGCTCGAGTCGTGGACATTCGTGTCCAGCAGCGATTGCACAGCCTCACTGATGAGCGGAGTACTGAACAGCTGAAAGACAACGGCCACCGCATAGGAGGGGCCCGCCTCGCCGGACTTTGTGATCAGTTCGTAGACGACGCGAAGGAAGAACATGAGGTAGTTCTTCTCACTTGCACTGGCAAGGATGTTGCCCAAATTCACCGCCTCCTCCTTGAAGCGCAGGAGATCGTCGCTCTTACTGCCCGGCTTCATGCGCCCCAGCTTGATGATAATCCGCTCGTATACGTTCAGCATATGCCCCCTGTCCGACTGATCGAGGCTCTGCAGAGTGCTGAGCAGCGCCTGTATGTCTCTCTTCGTGACTGTGTTCAGTTGGCCGGCATCCTCGCTTGTCTCGCTGGGGCTGGTGCCATTCGTGTCCATGCTCTCGGCGCCGGCGGCGCCGCCACCATCGTCGGAGATCTTTATGTTGTTGGCTGCTGGTTGCTTACCATTGGCTGGCATGGCGCCGTTTGAGGCACCGCCGGAGGCAGAGTTGACCCCATCGGTGGCTTCGTTGGGCTCGCTGTTGTTCTGCTTGACAGCCATGGCCGCGGCTGTGAACAGGAACCTCGTTTGGGCTTTTGTCCAGATGGATACCCGATTCGAATGCCTGGAGCAACTTCTCAGCCCCCAGCGGGCGTTGGTCTTCGACTTCTGCTTTTCGCGGGTGCTGCGGCTGTTTCGAGGCCGTCGACACTCTGCGCGACGTCTGCGCCGCGTGTCCTTGAACCTCTCGGCGTTACGTGTCGTTGTTACTGAGTGACCTTTCAACCACAACAAGCACTCATCGAGTCGCCAAGAGTCCAATCCGCAGGTCCGAGCGGAGGAGCAACGCCTTAGGCGGACAGAAATGTCGTCTCTGCGGTTTGGGGGCTGGAAAACTTCAACGTCGCACGAATTGCCACTGTCACTGCTGATCGACGGCGCTTGCCACAGACCGTGATGCACAAGAAATTTTGTAGACCGTGCAACATCCGAGTGAAGTGCCTGATAGACGCACTCGCTTCGCCTCGCTATTTTCTTTGCGGCCCGTTTTTGTTCCCGAATCTTGTTTCCTTTATATTGGATTGTAAGACGTTAGTTTAACGGCACACAAGTTTATGACGCTATTTTCTCCCGATTTAACTACAATTTGGATTATTTTCTTTGTGACTTCGATAGTTTCACCCGTCTGATACTCAGAAATACCGTATGTCGATGACAAATCGAACTTAGCCCACTCAGCCCACCTATTTAGACAGTTCAACGACATGAGGTAAATGTTAAGGTAAATAGTACTGATTGTGAATTCTTCTTATAGATCCATGCCATCTTTCTTCAGAATTAAAAAGAAAAACACGTCATCTGTCACCTGAGCTACGCTACAATTATTTAATTTTCATTATTTTCGGTGGAATATAAAAATACCCCCTTGGCCTTTAATGGGTTAATCGTTCTCCTTCAAGGATTGGAAACCATATTCCTCGATTTTGATATTCCGTCGAATATTCCCAGCTATATAGCACATTTAGCCATGCCCACATAATTTTATACGATTGATGAATCAATTTTCAACTTGACTAGCCTACTCTAAATACTTGCTTTTATTGGATTTCTATATACCGTTGAAAATAAAGTTTAATAGATTGGTGAAATTTTTACCTATTTGCATCTGGTCTCGAAACGCGTTATTATATTTTTGATGTGTCAGCGGGCGCGACGCACCAGGGCTGCACTAGCTATCGATTGGCACCTCACAAGAAATTAAATGTAAACAAATTTTTCTGTTGTGAGCTGGCAAATGGAATATTTTTTCTCTTGTTTTTCTAAAACGAATCAAATAGAATCTCCAAGAAAAGTGGTGACAAGTGTAAGTGAATTTGATAATTCGATCGTGTTTCGGCTTGAACGTGTGATTGCCAGCAACACAGGCGTCGCCTTGTGACTGTCAAGCTCGAGCTGTATTTGCTTTAAATTTCTTCGGAGTTTCTAAATTTGGTACGGAGAATCACTCGCCAAAATGCACCCAGGACAAATTGAAGTTAGCGAAATCACCGGGTATTGGAACTTCCTGTTGAGCGTGAGTAAGATTTTCTGGTGGCTCTACTTTCGCATACAACTTGCCGACTCTTTTGGTGGAATATTTTTGTTTCAGATCGATTGGAGGGATCCGTGGCTTATTGGATTGATTTTGCTGCACCTGCTCACCACCACTACGGCCCTAATCAGCAGGAGCCACAACAATATTCAAGTTGTTCTTTTCCTGTTACTTTGTACGTTGAGATTTCCATTTAATTTCCCTGTGCGATGTACACGTCGCGTCACCCGATTCCCGCACAATCTTCTGCAACTTAACTTCTGTTTCGTTTTCCAGTGTCGGCGGTCTATTTCAGCGAAAGCATCAATGAGTATGCGGCACGGAACTGGAGCTCCTTCTCCAGACAGCAGTACTTTGACAGCAATGGCCTGTTTATATCGACAGTGTTCTCCATTCCCATTTTGCTGAATTGCATGCTGATAATTGTGAGTGCAGAGAATTACTAGAAAGCCACGAAATGTCTTCTATAGAGTATATTTTTAGGGCACATGGCTATATAATTCCACACAATTGATGGTCGTTCTGAAGACGGCCCAAATCAAGGAGCGCGTGCGCCAGCAGCACAGGAACCCACCGGATGCGCAACGCCTCAAGGCGGAATAGCATTTAACAGAATTGTCATACACAATTTGAAAGAGCTGTGAAAACCAAATACATTTTAAGTTTATTTTTCGCCCGCTCATTTTTGTGAATGTCGATTACCAGTCGATTGTGGCTCATTTTTTGTTCACCAGGTGGCGCTTGGCATCATTAGAAGCGGCGGAAGCAACAGTGGCGTCCAGCGGAATTAGGACAGCTTCAAAGGGGATGCCTTAAAATGGAACCACATTTGTGCGGACCGGCATCAATATCCGAGTCGATTGAGCCATGTCCGTCTCTCTCCCTCACACATTCATTGTCATGCATTATGTTGGACCCCTTGCGGAGTGGAGCCATACTGACTGATTATCGTTATCTATACGCTTAGCTTATGCCTCACTGCACTTCGACAAACTATAATCCTCTGACTGTACAAATTATTATTTAATTTCATTTTCCAAATTTTATGGCCCCACTCCGAAAGGGAAATGAGAAATAATTTTCCACAGCGCACCTTTCAGAAGGCAGTCAAGTGTCACTAATATTTCCCAAATTCTGTCATACACCCCCGCCTGTAACTCTCTTTTCGATTATAAATGGGACGTCACTGATCTCTGCTAGCCTTGCGGTGTCGCACGATAGATTCTATTGTATTTACTACTGATCTTAATGAAATTTGAATACATTTTTAGCGGGGAAAGATGCAACACTCAAAGCTTGTTTAGCATTCAGCTGTGATGGAAATTTTATAATTTTCCAAAACAACAATTTAAATCAGACTTAATTTGATTTTAGTCGTCCACATTAATGTCCAAGTAACTGTGAACTGTGCCTCTCCACACACCCTCGGTGATGAATTTGATGATGAACATGTAGCTCCCTTTGGGAAGGGGAACTTTGGAGAACATTTGATCATCCAAAACAAAGTCTTTCAGAATAACATCGTGCTGCAAAGAGCCAGAGAAAAAGGAGAGTCAAACATGAGGATAATTCAATCGGAGCACTCACATTGATGGGGCAAGTGTGATTCACATTGATGAAGGGCAACATGGCCCCGTAGAAGTAGTAGAAGACATGAAGGGGATTCGGGTGCTTCATGTAGTGGCAAAAGTTCAAGGTAACGTTAAACAGGAACGGATGGTAGCCGGTGAGTTTCCTCCAGACGCTGAAGTTGACTGACGCCTTCCGAATTGGTAGTTTAAGGAATTTCATGTGGACATTAGCTCCGATAATGCCACGCCGCAGCTCCGTCAGGCGACACACAGGAATCACCACATACGACGGATCCAGTGTTTCGCAAGTAATGTTTTTATGTTCAGTCCGGATGTCTCCGAAAGTCGCCATTATGGCACATGCCAGGAACACCGATATCACTGAGAACTTCATGGGTGAAGTTTTATTACCAAAATGAATTTTTTTCGATCGCAGGGAGAAATTTGTTTATGCACAGTAAAATCATTAGCTACGAATTTGATCGTTGAACTGTCACTAACTGCCTTTCGATCAGATATTACTGACTTGAACTAATATCCACGTAGTTTCGCAGCTACACACGTAATTCCCGACAAAGAGAGAGAGAGAGAGACAGAAAATGAGGGCATGGACGGCGTTGTGTAGCAACCGAAAGTTGATTTATGTATTCTGTCTCTATTAATAATCATATCTGATCCAGATTCGTCAATTTGCGTTTTTAGTTTTTTTATTATCTTAAAAATATTTGATTCCTCAAATTTTCGTCCTTTGTTTGGGCGGAAGAGGGCGGCGCGAAATTTTGAAATACACTGTAATAGTGAAATTTCAAGGAGTCTGATACAAAATTTGGTTGCTCTAACTCTTATAGGACATACACACATGGCTATATCGACTCGGCTATTTATGCTGATCAAAAATATATATACTTTATGGGGTCGGAAACGCTTCCTACTGGGAGGTATAAGTGTCCATGATGTCGTCATCTGAAGGAAACTGTGTTTAAAAACCTCATTGTAGACCTCAATATAACTCTTGCAAGAGGACGGTGCCTATATTTGCATTCGAATTATGAAGAAATTCTACTTTTGGAAGTTCGAGTTAAGTAAATTTTAACGTAATTGCTTCCTAAACGCTGTTGCCCCCCGTTTAAGTTTGAAATATAGAAAATTCAAGTTACAGAAAAGAGAAAAATCAACTGTACTCCTATTCTCATTTTTATTACAGCGTATAAAAGGAATATTTTTGTTGACGTTCTTTGTTTGTGTATTGAAATACTCTCCACAAAAATTATGAATCTTCAAGAACTTTAGCGCAGTTCAGGGGAAATATATCGTGGTTTTTATTTGTAAGTAAAGAGGACGAATAGGATGGATATACAAGAAGAATTCACAAACAGGATTCTTTTGCGCAGTTTTACTCCAGTTGTTCATATGTTTAAATAGAGCGCGGTTAAAAGAGCTAAGTTTGTTTTTTCATCGGTATATTTATGGTATTTCTAAGGGCTAGCCGGGCACACTGTTACTCTCTCCTGCAACGAAAAAATGAGTTGTAATTTTGAATGGGCTATAAAAAACGGGTACGGATAACAGTCAAAAACAGCCAAGACAAATTGCAATTGAACCTCACCTCATGTTTAGGACATATTAAGCAAATTGGGTGGATTTTACCTTGCACTCGTTGCATTTTCCGGTCTGTTTTTCCTTACCATCTTCTTCCAACCATTAATACCTCTTATATCCCACATTATAACCAGTAACGAGTAACGTGTGTCAGAATTGTTGTTGTCTTTACGACGTCGACGTCGCTGCGCTGCGCCAAAACCAAAAATCCAAGAGAGCGAGCGTCAGGGTGACCATTTACGGTCAAACAATTTCATTAATCTATTAAATTTAATTTTTTAAGGTATATTTAGGAAAAAAAGACATAGAAACTTCTATACGTAGGTTTTTTGAATTTTCGCTATATCAAATCGTGCTTTCGTGCATCATTCATTCCAATGGATTGCATTTAAATTCTTGTCGTTCATTCACTTTGAAACAATTTCTATTTGGCGCGCACCACTCGACTCTTTTTGCTCTCTTCAAACGTTGCTCTCTCGCGGTTGTGTTTCGAAACAACAATAACAAGTTTGGTTCAATTTCTTACATTTTTTGTTGACGTTTTTTGTTCAATGTTTTAGACACCATCCAAAAAAATAAAGGGAGTATTTAAAATTAGCCAATATTATAGACAAAAAAATTATTGATTCATTTATCAGCTAATACTAGTCCTAGCTAATAATATTAAACCGAATATCAAAAACAAGAAATATGTATGATGGAAAAGAATAATTCACAAATTTTGTTAACTCGTTAATTTATTTGCGGTATATTTTGAAAATGAGACGGTATATTTTGGTATATTTCAAACTGTCAGACGGTATATTTTATTAATGGGTCCGCGGTCACACTGGTGTGTCAGAATTTGTTGTTGTTTTTGCGACGTCGACGTCGCTGCGCTGCCAAAACCAAAAATCCAAGAGAGCGAGCGGTGGTGCAGCGCGATGTTTTTAAGCAAAACTTGGTAAACAAATTCGTTGATAAGATATATTCGCTGGCCGACGTCAATTCTCGTGCGAAAGTTTATCTGCCTCTCCCTCCTTTCTTATCTCATCCGAAAGTGTATATGTGTTCCAGCGCGGATTAAAACTCGGCTCTGCTCCCCCGCTCTCCCGCGTACGTGCGTGTTCGTGTGTGTGTGTAAAAAGAAGTTTATTGGCTTAACATATTTTTACAAAGGGCCAAAGGGCGCAGCCTCTCTGACAAGTGAAGTTTTTGCAGACTGAACAGCAGGTGAAAATTAATTCCCAACAAAATAAGAGAGCGAGGGAAGAACAGTTAGTTACAAGAAGTGAAGAAGAAGCAGCTCAGCAGCAACTCCATCGACGACGCGCGGGGCAAAAAGTGACGCATAAGAAACGTTGCTAATTACAAAAGGTAAACAACAAAAAACAGAAGACACAACAATAGTAATGGCACACCCCCGCGGTCTTCATGTAGCGCAAATTGCTCAATTTTCATTCCTCCTACGACGCAGGCTGCGTAGTAGAGTTTTCCCGTTATTGTGTGCGACGCAGCGAAAATGTTCATTCATAAAAAACAGTCCACCCCTCACACGCCCCCCCTCCCCCTTGTCTGTGCAGTTGCTTTTGTCTGGAAATAGTTCAGAAATATTTGTACCGAATAAATTATCATGCCACGCCCCGGAGCCTCCGCCTGCCTTCCCATCGTTTCCATTTCGTTATTCAATTGGGTTTATCGTGGCATGGGAAGCTCAATTGAGCTTTAACTTATTTTTGCGAAATTTTCATTAGGCACGAAAGATTTTCAAAGGCGATTAGATCAGATATTGGCCCCGTTGCCATATGGCAGACTGTCGGTCTGGTGATTAATTAGGCGAGAAAGATATCATCGCTTTGGGGGTCGAACCTGGAAATACCCTTGCAGATATAATGGCTTACAGGGCGAATAGAAACCATGGAAAACCAGGTATAATTATTTAATGGTTCGGCTTTGATTTAAATGTAAAAATAAACGGGTATTATGCGACAGAATTGTCCTTATTGTTTTTCAGCCAAAGTAAGGGCTGTGCAGCACTTTTATAACTCCTACCATATTCTATCGTACCTCCACTAAGAAATGTAATATGGTTTTCTGTATCCACTGCTGCTTGATCACTAAAAGTGCTGAGTTCTCGTAGGTACGAGAAGGTTCTCTGCGTTTCAAACTTATGAGAAATACCGTAGGACCCCCCGAAAAGAGTATGATAAATAATTCGATTTCGTCATAAAGTTGTGGATGAAATGTCATTTTAAATTGGGGCTGGCCCCCCCATCGTCCGATAGGGCACCCATCGGGACATTCCAGCGCTTATCGGCTGCAGAGCGCATTTCCTCACCGTGAGCTACAATATCCATTCGTCACTATTGAAAAGGAAAACAATCGTATCGAATTTATGGGCAAGATGTCGCCAAAATGCAAAAGTCAAGCAAAATAAATATACAAAAAAAAAACAAAACAATCAAAATAACTCGGTGACATCATTTTGACTAATCGCCAATTTTAGCATTTGAAAAACGGCGGCTGCTGCTCAGCACCCATCTCCACTGGCCAGAAAGAGACAGTCTCGGCGGGTGGAGAGGTGAGAGGCAACGAGAGCGGGGCCCTCGGCTCACACGAAGAGCAGGTGCTAAGCCGAAGGCGCCGACGAAATGTAGAATCAAGCCCAGCCGACACGAGCCGAGCGTTGGAATTCCAACACCTACACCCAGAAGCGTACGTTGTACATCTATAAACAAGCAATAAATAGATCGTTTGAGGGTGTGCGTGTCACTTGATAGTAGAAAATTTCACTTTCACAAAATTGCATAGATTATTTCAGTATCGGAATTCGCATCAAATGAAACGTAGGCACTATTTATATCAATTACAATAAATCAAAAGTGGAATTAGTATGGAATTAATGATTGTACGCGGTAAATGGGTAAACAAACAAACAAAATGTGGCTATACATACATACATATGAACGATGGTTACCCACAGCTATTCGATGTTAGTCTTCTATTGTTTGTTACTTAATTGATTCCGTTCTCTGATTACAAATTGTTTTCTTGATAGCATCCTTTGACCTTCCGTTGAATTCAATTAGCTTGAACATATTTGGGGGGATGGCGGAGGCGTAGGCGGGGGCGGGCGCCCAATGCATTGCTCCAGTTTGATCTAGCTCGTTGATACGCTCCCAAACACACGGATGGGATAGCCTAGTTTCTTTTGGTTAATTTTGAGAGCGACGAGCAGTGCTCCAGATTCCCAGATACTATTTCTGAGTGAGTGCGGCACACGTTGGCGGTTGCTTGAGTTCGGTGTTGGTTTGGTGGAAATGTTGTGAAAAGCTAAATGAGGCGTGACATGAAAAAATAAAGCACACATACACAACATAGAGCGAGAGTGAGAGAGCAAACCACCCACAACAAGACAACAACAATGGGAAAAGAAAGAGAACAAAGGGAACCGACACCGAAACAAGAGGGCCACGCCACGGAGTAATTTCGGCCTAGAAACATTGCTCTGCTCTGCCACAACTTGTCCCCAAAACCAAAGAAGCACATGAAACACAAAGAAAGTCAAGGCTCCGGGAGTCGCAGCAGTTGATACCCTTGCCGGGTCTTTCGTTCAGTCTTGTTCCTGCTGCAAACATCTGATGAAAATTGGAATACCGCCGTGGAAGAGTATACGAGTTGAAAGTGCAACCTCCACCGCGACCACGAGAGCGTGAAGAAAGGAAAAGTGGGAGTGCAAGGGGATTTATGAGAGGGGCCATCAGAGAGTGAGAGGATGGAATAGACAATTAAC